TTTCTTTAAAAAAGTTCTTATGGAAAGGCAACACCAGCTGATAGCTGAAAGCTTGAGAGTTGGATTATGCCCAGACTGTTCTGTATAAAGATAATAAAGTGAGAAAACTGTTTTAGTTAGTTTTAGTTTACTGTAAGTGCTTATACTTAACTCCATTTTATTTCAGGTTTTGCAGTACAAGAGAAAATGTGGTGAGTTGGAGAACCAGATGTCTGAAAAATACGCTGAAACCGAGCGGCATCAATATAGGGTAAGATGGTACTCCTAAGTACGAAGACCAAGTCATTATTTAATTAACATGCAAACTATAATAATAAAATTTCTATTAAAAATACTATCAACAAATAACATGCACACATTTTTAACCTACCACCCCTATCTATTAATGATCAGTATATCGTTTTCTGTGGATGGATTGTACCATTTATAGTAAAATAGGGGTGGAAGGTTTGATCTTTACTTAGTCTCATTTATTTTCTTTATTATTTTCTTGTTAACCTAATTGCTTGATTATGTTATATTATATGTTTGAGAAATGTTCGCTGTCTTTTCCCGTGCACGTGCGAAGCGGCGCGTATCAAAGGTGACACTCAATAATCCCTCGTCCCATGATAACAGATATAAACCTTATTTTCCTCATTATATTATCTTTCAATACAATGTAACATTTATTCCAAACTTATTTGCTAATGCAATGTAGGTTTAATGTAACTTCATGTTTTTAAGTCTGTTTAAATTTAAAATCAATTCATATTTTAAATTATGAATGCTACTTCTATATAGTTTTTATAATAGTTGTTTTTAATTTTAATGTTTGTTCATGTATTTGTATATTTGAATTTTTGTACATTCTTTCATGTATGTATATCAATACATTATTTGCAGGTTTCAGTGTTATGTGATATAAATGTCTGAGTACTTCATCAAGTCGGCCATCTTGTTTTTAGATATTGTCATCTAATCACCAAAATGTGCAGCTGGTGGCTTTGCATGTCGTAATCCAACTTAAAAGAAGCCTACAAGTTGATGATGTAATCAAACATAAAATCACAGAAACCCAAAAGGGGTCTAATATTGAGACTTGTGCTCAATAACTGGATGAACTTTAGTAACAGCATGTCTTATATTATTGTCTAAACTAATACAGTCACTATCTATTGCACAGATAAGGAACACCACTGATAGTTTGGCGACTCGTCTAGAATCAACCGAAGCACGTCTTAAGATGCAAGAGGAGGAACACAGCATGATTTGGAGAGTGCGCTGATCAAGCTGGAAGAGGAACAGCAAAGGTAATGCATGAGCGACTGTAATGTGCTTGCTTTATAGTATGGTGTTTTCATTGGATGTTACAAAGTACCATTATCAGAATTAAAGGTTTTTACGATGTCATAGCTTTACATTGTCACTCAATGATGCAAATAAAGCCCTCAAATTTTACTAAATTTTTAAGTTTAAAAAAAGTTTAGTTCTTATGGCGATGATTTATAACAATAATGAATCCCCCATGGCATCAAATTGCATTCACAGAAGTGTCTAGATATGATGTGTTTGGGTTAGCCATAGACCGATTTTTATCCAGTATGGCACTATGGGGCATTCATTATTGTTTAAATAATTGTGCATATTTTGTGATGATAAATATGAGTAAAATAAACGCCAGAGAAAATACAAAAACTGTACCCTATATTTTTTGTATAATTTATGCCAATCTGTGAAAATAAGTTACATTTGTTGACCCAAATCCTCATTGTCAGCAGAAAGTCATTACAGCCAAAATTTTGAAGAAATTAATGAAGAAAAGTGAATTTTTCTATATCCTAGTATTCATGAGTTTGTTTTGTTGCCACATCACTCTGAAAAAAAATTAAATCAAAATTTTTAGTCATGCATGCATTAGGGACCAGCTGCATTTGTCATCATGGTGTAATAAATTGGAAATGAAACATATGGCCCTCAAAATATTTAAATAGGTGAAAGTTCAAAAGAGGAATGCAAATATAAACTAAAATAGTCCAATGTCTAGATGGAATACTCGAAACTTGCATAAGGATAAATAAAAAAAAGTCTCAACCAATCAGATTGATGTATTACTATGTATGACATCATAGTTTAGTATTGGATATTTTCACATTTGCATATGCATACATTAAAAATGATTTATCCAATCAGATTGCTGTAATAATTTGTATGACATCATATTCATCATAATTGTCTTCATTATTTTCAATCCTGTGTTCATTAATTTCCCTATTGTTTTTTTGTTTTGCTTGTCTCTTGTTTTGTTTTGCATGTTTTAGTTTTTTCTCTGTAGTTCAGTATCACAACGTGTTACTGTCCACACAGTGTGTCTGCTCTACCCGTGTGCTCTCCTTCATCCAGATTTCATCCCTTTTATGTCCATATTTTCACCAATTCTGCCAGGAATCATCTGTTTGCATATCATTAATATCTATAATATATCCCATCATTCTCTAATTCTGAAAAAACAGAAAGAAAAATAAATAACTTTGAAACTTGTTTACTATAAATACCCAAGGCAGCCATTTTGTTTTCTGTAGAGCAAGTCTTGCATGTATATAAATGTAAAATAACCATTATTAGTTCCTGCCAAAACTTTGTGCCATATATTGATGTATTTTTTTATAATTTTTTTTGTTAATCTTGAATCAGTTGCACATAATCTCCCATTAGTTGCATATCTTGATAACAAAACATGGTGCATCAAAACATGTCCGATTTTGACTTGTTCCATTACTGGTAGTGGTTTGCCATTATGACAATGGCAGTAAACAACTTAATTCTTACACATAAATAACAGTTTGACAGTCACGCAAATATTTGGATATTTGTAGAAACAGGTTTAATTTTAATTTTTATTAGAATTGAAATTCGTCACATTTCCAGTCTGCACCTCGTCTTTCTGCATATATTGTGATATCTCACTTATACATCCATGCATTTTCATGGTGATTGATTGTTGGCAGAATCTATCAGTTTAAAATGGTAACCACATGATGACCAATGCATATCACGTGACAGTCAATCACATGACCAATACAGGAAGTCATTGTCATCATGTGATTATCTATCGACTCCACTGACCCTGTCCCATTTTATTTGTTGGCCCAGGAGCGCTAGTCTAGCCCATGTGAACTCTATGCTACGTGAGCAGCTAGACCAGGCAACTATGGCCAACCAGCAGTTGACTGCTGACATCAACAAGCTCACTCAGGATTGGCAGAGAGCACGGGAAGAGCTGGAAGCTAAGGAGCGTGAATGGCGTGATGAAGAACAGGTGAGAATATTTTTTTGTATTTTAGTTTGGTATATGGGTATGTCTGCCCGAGTACAAGGGAACAATATCCCGGTATTGTGAGGGCAAGTTTTTATGTGGCATTTGAGCACAAATAGAAATAAGACTGTTAACTTTTTCACCGCCAGACTTTCTTGCCCAAATTCTTCACCACTTTTTTCTTATTCTTCAATATTTCTGGAAATAACACTAATTTTGGAGGTAACAGACAAAATTTTATATGTACTCGAAAACAATTTTGCTATTTTTGTCCCAATCTTCTGAAGGAGTTGCAGACTATTCACGGGACTACTTTGTGAATTTCTGATGAAAAGATGGAACTGGTGGTGAAAAGGTTTAAGCGTTACATCACATGATCAAATTTTTGTGTAATATTTTACAATTGTTAACAAATGAAATGTGTAGATTGCTTTATTAATACAAATACAAATATTTAGCACTACCAAGCAACCATTTATTGGCAATAAAATACTGTAAAATATAGCAAAATGAAATAGCACTTATTTTGTGTGACATATTTTGAGAAACAATTTTCAAAAATCAATATTTAACATAAAGTTAAAGAAAAATTAGCATTTTTTTTTTTTACACTTTTTCGAAACCTAGCTTTCATAAATAATTTAGGACAAGTACACCATCATTAACAAAAAATCATTTTTTCAGCCTATGTCACCAACCTGCAATTTGAGATATGACATAATGTCTCTGACAAAACGGCCACTATCTACTAACTCAAACTATTTTAACGTTAATATACTTATAATGCAGGCTGGTGCAATTCATTGTAAAATGGTTAAATTCTGGGTATTTTCATTTATGACTCAGCTAGCTGTCAGGATACACACTGAATTGTTGTGATTTTATATAAAAAAAAAAAATAACAGGCTGTTAAATTTTTCAGTTTCAATCCGTGTATCTTGCCCAGCTTATCGCTATTGTTTTCAGACAAACTATATGGTTTGCATGGCGCAGCTGTTGTCTAGCAACCAAATTCGCAATTCTAACATGGTGCACATTTTTTTATTAAGATATTTAAAGTTTTATTAGTAAACATTTTCTAACAAGTTTGAAAAAAAAAAAGTGAACATGAGTTCAAGTTCAAGTGTTTAATAGATAATAATCATCAGAATTTTCATATGCATATGTATAAGAACAATACTGTAATTCTGTTGCCGAGCTATTTTATCTTTGTTTTGTGAACTACAACATCAAATAAATAGGCAAGGTTCTTTCTCTTTTTCAAAGTTTTCAAAATTGATATTTCTGTATAAATTTGACATTCTGTTTTGTGTTATTTGTTGCAGTCTTTCAATGATTACTTCGCAAACGAACATAGTCGCTTACTGACAATGTGGAGAGATGTGGTCGGTTTCAGACGTACATACTCCGAAATGAAAAGTGCAACTGATAGGTAAGTTTACCGTGAGAACCAGTTTTTGCCAATCTCTACTGTATTTTCTCTATTTGAAGCATAAACACTAGTAGAAATGATGAATACATGATTATGTATTCTCAGAAAATTATAATTCATGTGGATAAAATATGATACAACTTGTTGTACAATAGTTTTTAGGTAACGGGTTTGTAAAGTTACTCAAATCAGTATATCATAGTATCCTTCCACTTTATAGTTTAAAAAGTAGTGCCAGTTCAAGTGAACTTAATTATTTTAAACTTTTTTTGGGAGGACATTTGTCCAACATAACATATCGTATTTGTTCCATTAGTAGCTTTTGTGTTTACATAAATAGGAGAAATATATCTATGATCAGAATTAGTTTTATTTTAAGGGTCCAGCATCAAATTATTTTTTTTAAATTATTTATGTGCACATCTATTGGAGATGAGGTTTTAACCTTTTAACCACCAGTTTCCTCTTTTCATCACAAATTCACAAAATAGTCCCCCTTTTTCTCTTCAGAAGTTTTGGACAAAAATAGCAAGAATTTTTGAGTAAAAACTGAAAATTGACTCAAATTTTGTCTGTTGGCCTCAAGATTAGGGTTCATTTCCAGAAATATTGAAGAATATAAGAAAAAAGTGCAAACAAAATTTGGGCAAGAAAGTCTGGTGGTGAAAATGATAATATAGCAAATACAGTACATGTATAATAATATGCAAAATGACATCACTTAATGTAACATAAAAAGTAGACTTAAGTTAGGTAATAATGGGCATGCACTGAATCCTGTTTTTTTTTAACAGAGACCTGTCTCACCTCCGTGCTGACATAACCCGCATGTCTCGTAGTATGCACGCAGCATGTTTGAACTTGAACGCCAACCAACGTTCAACGGACGCTACCACCAACGTACAGCTGGAGAGAGAGCGTGCTGAGAAACAAGCTGTGGAAAATCAACTGCGCGAAAAGGTCAAGGAAGTGTTGGAACTACAATCTAAGTACGACACAGTCAAGGCTGAGATGCAGGCTAGGTGAGTATTCTTTTCCCATTT